AATTTAGAAATATAATTTTCACATTCAACTCAATCATATCAACACTATTAAAGAATACAAGCAAAATTATTTGTATAATCTCGTATATTTCTTATTCAAGTATGAAATATACAAGTATATTTTTTTTAGATGACACAATACTGTTATGCAATTGTAAAATAATTTGCAATTACTTTCTTATATCATGGAAATATTTCTAGATATTGCTTCAAAAAATTTCCAAAAAATTAAAATTCATATACTAATAAAAATACGATAAATGCAAAATTCGTGCAATGCGTGTAACAATCATTGTGTGGAGAGGTTTTTTTTTTTTAAAACTTCGCACTGTACAGAGAGTCCGCACTTTGTGAGAAGAGATTTTTTTTTTTGGTTGCTTATAGCAGTTTACATTTACTAAAATTATTGTTATTATTTTTATTGCTAGTGACATGATGTGTGGAAGAATATTTGTTTGACATAATTATTTTTTTAATGCTAGTGTGATGATGTGTGGAAGAACATTTGTTTGACATAAGCAAAATGAAAAATAAAAAATGACATTATGCATAGTAAAATTAGATTCATTTATTATTGCATGAATAGTAAACCCCCATTCTCCTTTTTATTAGAAGTTAGATATGTACTTATAATATTGAAGTTCAATTAAGATTTTAATTGTTATGCCTACACCTGTAAAATTTCTGCAGTTTTGAGTTCTTAAAGAACATCAAAGAATGCTAGTGTTTGAGCGTAAAATTGAAAAAAATCAAAGCAAAATAATTTTTATTTTTTATAAAGCATGTTATAAGAGTAATTCTTAGAACACCCATGCCATGTGTTTCAAAAAATTTTATAGGCGATTTAAATTATAAATGAGTAAACATTACGTATGGATCATTTGAAATGAGTGTATAAAAAGTAATTTGATTTTGAATGGCCAACTTACAAAAATACTTCTAAAATTAGGGATCTTTTGAAAAAGTATATAAAAAGTATTTTGAAAGTAAAAAGTATGATGCATAATTAGGTGCCTTTTTTTTAATTAAAAAGTAACACAATATCACTTTTTAAAGTTCAACAACATTTTTTTAATTAAAAGACAATATACAATATCAATTTTATTAAAAAGTGATGTATGTCGCTCACCAGAGTAATAGATATTTCAAGAAAATGGCATGAAAAGAGTGGCAAACGCTAAAAAAAAAAAAAAAAAGTGACAAAAATCAAATAAAAAAAAAGTGAAAAACACTAAAAAAATGACAAAAATTAAAAAAAAATTCACAATTTTTTTTTTAAAAATGTGACCCCAATTTAAATATTGAAATCAATTCAATAAAGTGGCAAAAATTTAAAAAATATAAAAATGATACAACCACTATCCCTCCTCTTGCTTCGTTCACCGCCAAGCATCTTTAAGTCAATTTATTAAAAAACACCGATCAAAATGTCAAACGTCTTTATATTAATTCACCACCACCATCTACCAACTAAAGTCACTGTTACATTATCCAATGATTTGTCATACAAAATTCCTCATCCAACTCAATACTCTCGACACCCTTCGAGTAATCATCACAGTCACTACGATCTCCAACAATTTAGCTTCCACAACCGAATTCTTGCTCAAATCCACTAGACTATTAGTTTCTATCAACAAAATTTCAATTTTTTGCATAAAGAAATTACATAAATCCCATTCCATCCAGAACCTGGAATGATTTTAGCTATAAAATCCAGTTTCACATAATTTCCCAAAAAAAAAAAAAATCACGAATCCACCAAGCAAAGCAACTGAGCAGATGTCGAAGGAGAAGAAAGCAAATGGTCTCGGGCAAGTTGTAAACATACAGATACATAAGGAGAAGAAGTCTTTCACGAATCAACGACTCTTTTTCCTCCAACACCTTAGCGACGAAGTCCAAAATTCTTAGGGTTCAAATTTTTCGAGCATTTCATCATATGAATTTGAAAGCTCATTGTAAGAACATTTTTCATTTATATATATCTTGTTTTCGATTGCCATGAAGCATATATTTGCCATTTCGTTTTGACTATCATTCCCATTTTGTTCTTCATCATCTCTATCATTCCATGTGATTTGGAGTGCATTTTTCTTGAATTTTTTCCTTTAATTCAGGCGTTCGGTTCTCTTGTACCCTGGCTTATCACAATCATAGCAAATAATCTTTTTTCTTCTTTCTTCGCATTTTCCTCATTTGTTTGAAATCTTCAATTATTACAAAGACCTCTCCATTTCTTGACGAGAAGAACCAAGTCATCAAACTCTTTATCATTCATGTTTTCTTTTGACGTTCCTTCTTCAATTTTCGATTCTAAGGCAATGTACCGTTTGGGAGGCTTTTTTAATTTCTCCTTGCTTTTTTTGTTTTCCCCTTAACTTCGACATTATTTAGTTTGTAGGTCATTAATGTTCAGTAGATAGGAGTGGGCATTTTTTCTCGGAACTGGTGGAATCGGACCGAAACCTTGAGAATCGATCAGTTCAATTCCGGATCTTCTAAACAACAATTTAATTTTAGGACAAATTATTAAGAACCAATCGGTTCTGGTTGGGTTCTAGTATCGGAACAGTTCGACGGTTCTCAAATGATTTTTTATTTTTTATTTTTTTGGTAAAATATATCACTTAATCTCCAATCACTTTTATTAAAAAAAAAAAAAATTGGGTTTCTTCTTTATTTTAGACTCGAGGAATTTCCTTCACTTTGATTATTTCATTCTCTCTTCTTATAATTTTTTGATTAATTGATTCTCAAGTCAAATTAGAATATTGGGTAAATCGATATCTAAATAAATTTATTTACAATATTTAATTTCATTTCTAAGATGCGAAAGTTTTATTTTGTTTTCACTTTGATTACATAATTGTTGATCCAATTGAAACTTTTCATCTAAATTTCTACAAATTATAACGATAGAACCAAAAGTTGCAATAAATTTTTAAAGGGTATCCAATTCAATGTTGGATTTTGATTTTGATGGAAGTTTTTTTAATCATTGGAGTACTGTGCAGTTTATATAAGTTGATGATTATTGATTATTGCTTGATGATAGTAACTTATATTATTTGGATATTGTTTTTAAATTTGTATACTTAGAGCCTGTTTGAGTCACATTATTTGTAGAATGAGAATGAAAAATAGAGCCGTTATGGACCCCACACAAGAAATAGAAATTCAAAAATGGTGATTTGATACGATGGATAACAGTCATATTTTTCATTTTAATGAGGTAAAAATGGGGCTCAAACAAGGCCTTAGTCTTCTTTTAATTTTTGAATAATATGTTCAATTTTTCTATATTTTGTTAAAAGTATCACGTTTGTAGCATCTTTAGATTTTTATTAGTGAATATTTTTATTTTGACATTTTCAATGTAAAGAAACGGACCGAACTGGAATCGGAACCAATTGGTTCGGGTATCACAGAGATAACAACCATGCTTGTATGCTTTATCATATACTGATACGATGATAATTTTAACCATTCATGTGAGTAAGTTTCCCTTCTAACCTTCCAACTATGTACAAAAATGTTTACAATAAACAGGAAAGTAACTTATCCGGAAAGACTAAATACAACCCTTCAAACCTTAACCACCTAGTACAATATAAGAAAAAATGCAAAGTGATGCTGCTCAATCATAAAATGTCCCACTAAAGGAGGAAGGGATGTCTGGTTACCTCCACAGTAATGAGGGTAAATATCAGGACATCTATATGATAATCCAGGATGCATTTTATATCTCCATCCATACACGCGAGCATTTAACTAAAAGTAGCAAAATTGTTGTATAATAACCTCAACATCATATGATAATCATCAAATTTGTCTGGCAGCAACTCATCCAACATCAAGGCTCGCCGAAATGCCTTAACAGCTTGCAGCTCCTCAGCATCCCGGATATCCTCAATTGAAACAGAGCTACCACGAACATCGCTCTTTCTTCTACTGCTCTTCTTCTTCTTGAGAGAATGCTTGAACTTTGAAGATGCATTCAATGCTTTCTTTTTTAAGGAACCAATTCTCGACCTTCTTTCATCCTCAGAATTTTCAAAATCAGATTTTCTTTCTCTCCTCTCATCATTGCCAGATGACCCCTCAAAGCCTGTTCCATGCAAAAAGTACAAATGTAATAAAAACCATTTTAAGAGAAGAAATACAGCATGATTCGTGTGATACTCCTGCTTGCCTCAGCATTAACTAATTTTTTACGCTTGAGATGATCTAATAGTAAAATTTCCACTATATATAACCAGTTAGCTCCAGTTATCAGAGAAGTCCAATATTGGGTGCCAACTGAAGCTTTTAATCTATGTAATTGGCTTGGTAAAAGAAACATTTTTTTCACATAATTTAAACATGTTCCGAAATACAGGATTAACGGTTAGGAATCTCCATTAAACGCTTTCTTCGAGTCTTTGTACTTATAATTAAACTCCATTAAATGCTTTCTTCGAGTTTTTGTACTTATAATAAAAAAAAGCCACATCTCATGCGTGTGTTGTGTCAACCCAGATGTCAACCTTGAGGGCACTGTAGCAACACTCTTAAACTTATATTTAGTCCCCGTTTGTAGAGAGAGGAGGGGGTGTGGGGGGGGGGGGGGGGGGGGGGGGGTGAGAGAGCGTGTGTGTGTGTGGGGAGAGATATTTAATTTATTAGAGATTGATTATTAATAATATATTTATTAATAAATGTTGTGTGTGTGTGTGTGGAGAGATATTTAATTTATTAGAGATTGATTATTAATAATATATTTATTAATAAATGTTAAATAAATAACTATAACCTGATTTATGAAAGATTAAACTTAAAATAGGATTAATGAAATGTAAATTTAAAAAACAGGCCCTTGTATAATTTCCACTTATCAAATTAGTTAATTTTTCAGGTCACTGAACATAATTTGCCCATTGTATTGGATCAGAATCCGGAACAATTCTTGTAACAAATAATGATGTTGAAAATGTTAAAGACACGTGCAGCCCAATCCGGCCTCCATTCCGCAACAAATGACAGACGAGGGCAGCACTCTCTCACTCTAATTATAATCCAATTTTATTAGTTCAACTCACCGGCACACTAACAAGTAACACCCTTATAATTTTGCTGCAAATTTCCTATTTCGACGGAGAGTTATCCATCTGGGTCTTTTTCTACTTTTGTCTAATAATCCACATCCACTGCCTTAAAGGTATGAACATTCTAGCTTATTTTCTCTTTCACTTTTCTACTTTTATCTTCTTTTCCTTTTGGAATTATTCTTCTTGTATTTCTGGAACTTTAAAATAATTTGCAATGCTTTTTCTTTCATTTGATGCAATGGGTATGAAGATTTAAGTTCTTTTGAATCAGTTGCTTGAAATCTTGATCCACCAAGAATATTTACTTTTTTTGATTGATTTGTTACTTTTAGTGTTTAGTGAATATAATTTCTGTTGTTGGTTCCATAAATGAGTTGACTTGCATTTCAATTATTTTGGTTATTTATAAAAAAAAAATTAGTGTGGAATTAATGGATTTATGGATTATAGGAATCAAATTACTGTCTTAATAGGGTTAGGTGTGCTATTTAATGGTTAGTTGGTACAGAGAATTGGGTTGGGATTCAACATTATTAAAGAAGACAAAGAAAGCTAGAATCTTGTTCATTACAATGTCTAGTCGTGTTAAGCATTGCATATCAAACTTGAACTATATTTCTTTTAGGTTTTGACCTCAGTTTGAAAGCTAGTATACAGGGGAATGATCGGGAGGTAAGCGAGGAAAATATTGTAGAGAAAGAAGATGTCGAGCAACAGAGGCACGCATTGGTGTCATAGTTGCAGAGAACCCATAATTCTTCAGAGACAATCTTCGTGCCCCAACTGTGATGGAGGTTTCATTCAGGAGCTTGACGATATGTTGAGCACTACAACTGAAAATCATGATCAAAGGCCCAGGTTTATAGAATCTGTGTCGAATTTTCTCAGACGACAAAGGACTGTTAGAAGCAACGCGACTGGCAGCAGAGGGAGGTCCGAAGGTGGTTCTCTGAATGGTAATTCGTGGAATTCGCTCCTAGTTTTCAGCGGTGATATGCCAGATAGGATGCCCGGGAGTGGTGGGCTCGTCGAATTTCTTAACGATGCTCTTGGATTTAGACGAGACAATGGTGGCGACTATTTTATTGGTCCTGGTGTAGAAGAATTATTCGAGCACATTACGAGCAACAGTCAAAATGTACCTCCTCCAGCTTCAAGATCCTTCATTGATGCTCTGCCAACAATCAAGATTACAAAAAAGCACGTCCGTTCTGATTCAACCTGCGCTGTTTGTAAAGAAAAATTCGAATTGGGTTCACAAGCGACAAAGCTGCCGTGCAAACATCTATATCACTCGGATTGCATTGTTCCGTGGCTACAACAACGCAGTTCGTGCCCAGTTTGTCGCAAGGAGCTAACTCCTCAGCAATCAAGCAATGAGTGCAATAGTTACCGTTCTAGGGAACAAAATAGAAGCTGGAGTAGGAGATTTGGTAGTCGAGAGGACAGAAATGAGAATCCAGGCAGGAGGAGATGGTCTTTCTTGTGGCCTTTTGGAAAGTCTGGGTCCAGCTCTAGCCAGAATAGAACAGCCGAACCTAGTTCAGTCGTCTACCAAGAACATAACCAAGATGGGGAGAGCTCATATCGGCCTTTTTGAATATTGAGATTACTCAATCTCAAGAATTTCCTACTCTGTAAATCTTTGTAATCTTAATTTTCCAACTCTATTTGAATAACTAGATCTGCTGTGGGAAATAATGTCCTTACTCCATTCATTGTTTCGAATAACTGGAATTTGTTTAATAATCGCCAATCAAAAGCACTCAAAAAGCGTATGCATTATAATCATAACTGCTGTTTATGTCTGTGTTCCTTTTAAATCATCTCACTTCAGCACAAACTGTTATACATTTTTCTCATTCCATTGGGCTCATTATTAGTTTTACTGTAAGATCGGACCCCAAGATCCAACGCAGTGATCATTGATTTGGAAATTTCCAATAGAATATACTAAATATTGGCATGATATGGGTGCTGTACAAGTATCTTTATTGTACTTTATTGTACTAATATAAGCATGAACTGAAAAATAAAAAGCATAGCAGTTTGGATATCGATGGTTCATCATCTCAAGCACATTCATATGAAAAGGGTTGACTACAAAACACAATGTAATTGACACGACACCAAAAAAAAAAAAAAAAAGGTAAATGAGATGGCACATAAAGTTTTCCTAGTTTGTGAGCTCCATTATAGCAGAAACGATGTCTCCATCAGATTCCTTGAGAGCTTTGACTGCCCGAGCTCTTGAAACCCCAGCTTGAGTCATCACCAGCTCTATATCCTTTGGTTCAACACCAGTCTCGTCGACATCTTCATCATCCTGAGCAACTGTCACGGGTTCGGGTTTTGGAGCTACATTGCTGATATTAGGAGCCTTGAACTGCTCGGCAGCTTGAGTCTGCAACTGTGAACTCAAATCCTCGATCTTTGCCTCGCCAAAGATGATGTATGTGTCTGAATTGGGGCTCTTGAAAACATCAGGCTTTGAGATGACAAACAGGATCTGAAACATAAATATCGGAAAAACTAAGATACAGTTGACACGTAAGACTATGGTCAGAATGGAGGACATTCTTAAAAGTCAATCAGAAATTAAATATCAGAGAGAACCAGTGAAAAGACTGACGTTCTTGCTCTTCTTAACAGTGACACGACTGACCCCAGGTATGGGCTTCATTCCTAGTTTCAGCATTGCCTTGCGACTCTTTTTCTCACTCCTGCTCTGCTTCGACCTACCACTAGCATCTCCTTCTCCTGTCAAGAGTAATCGGTATTTTATTCATTATAAAAACACAAAATTGTACCTCACCTTTTCAGGAAGGATCGGAAGTTATAATTTATGGTTGAGGTTTTAGCTTGAGCATACACAGAATTCGAACTAATCGAACCAGAGTATTATCCTGGAAATGTGAGAACAGGTAAGAACAGGTTTCGTGGGGATGTTTACTCAATTTTGAAACCTAATTTTCTGCCTACAAGTAAAATGCAATCATGAGTTTCCCTGATGAAACTAAGACGCAATGGAGAGTGGCCTAACCACAGAAGGAATGTCGGGACTGGGCTAGAGGACTCTCTAACATCCACATTAAAAAGTGCAAAATAAGCTTATATTGGCTTTGCACGCATTCAAGGTGGAATGTGGTGTGAGAATGTTTGGGCTCTCTTTATGCTCTTTGGAGCTATGCAGTCATAAATATTTCAGTTCAGCAACAAAGTTTTACCTATCAACCATTTTAGCAGTAAACTCAGATTATCTTTGAACCCGAACTTTTATATATTTTTTATATTAAACTGGTCTGCTCACTAAAACTTGAAGATTAACAAACTGGACCGTGATAATCAATTGCAATACCCAAGGTATCCACCAATTAGCTCAAATAAACTCGGTTGAGACCATTCTTTTCCACAAGAAGAAAACAAATATATAAATAGGGTATCATTTAGTAAGCTTAAAAGGAGAGAAATCCTGATGCTTTTAATGGTAAGTTAAATAAGAAAATATATAAATAAATTTTAAATAGAACAAGGAATCTTCTAGATTGTTCCCTTATCAAATAATTCATAAGACTTAAGAGTTCAGTGAAAATGATTTCCACAAGTTCATGAGGACACTGAAACCATTAATAATCATTTTAGCGGTATGTATCCAACAAACTACATTAATGTCCCACAACTTTGACTTCCATCCATCGAGCTCAGTAGTAGAAAGCATGAGATAGATCTATAAACCATGAATTTTCAGTACCAGAAGCAAAGAATCACAGTCATGAGTCATGGTAGTAAATATACCTTCAGCACCTTCTTCATGATCATCCTCTTCATCATCATCTTCATCTTCGTCGTCGTCATCCTCAATTACTGGCTCCTCCTGCTGCAAAAATAAGTGTAACTCAATAAAAATTCTATTTTTTTTGCTGCATGTGTGTTACTTTTTATTTATAGAGGGAGAGGGAAGCTGGAGTAAATTATATCATACAAAACAAGCAATTACTTGAAGGCAATCAAATGAAAGGTCAACATAGTTCCAGCATTAGTACCTCACCCACCCCTGGGGGATGTATAGGAACATGAATGAAGTGTTCCTTGAACTCAATTTATAGCACTGAATTGGTTCCTTCTAAGCATTATTAAAGTGCAAAATATGTCATGCATAGAACAATATAAGCATCACTACTAAATATATACGTTGAGACGATGACCAAATGCATATTAGAATAGAAGTTGCAAATTTTTATATGGCATTAGCCAAATAACAAAGCAGTTTGCAATTGCAAAATTGACTTCAACAGATCCTTTAGAGTGAAGCAACTGAAATAGCTATTAAAATAGCAAGGATGGAAATGTCAACTTCGGATATACGTTCCCAATGTGATTTTGATAGGATACCACTTGAAAGAACAAATTCAAATATTGAATAACTGACTTTTTGATTGAAAAATGACGACTACAGAAATTAAAAGAACAATTCTAAGCATTCGAGAGGTTTAAATCTCTCCCCCTAACTCATCAACTAATTCTCTGCATGAAATCTCCCCAATCCCTCCCCCATTACATTTATAGGCAACTTATCACACCATTACTCCCCAAAACACCCTGCCCCTAACTGAATCTATTCTAACCAAATAAGCTTCTCAATTCTTCTACGTGCTTCCATGTTGATAGGAGTCTTATCATTACTCGCCCCTCGAAATCCACCTTGTCCTCAAGGTGGAAGCCACTTCAAAATCCGAAACCACTTTTGGAGTAAGCTTGTTGTAGCTGTTAACCCGTGTAGTCAATCCACCCCATACAATTAAAATGTTATCCATAAAAATTCCATAACCAGTTGAATCCATAGAAGGAACTCCTAAGGGTTTAGTCAGGTTTGAAATGTATGCATTAATCTCATTCTTATTTGGGTTGTAATTTACTTGGACCTGATTTATGATTTCATTTCTCTTTCCCCCATTGGCCCAACTCCAAACTAAGGCCCAATCTCTTAAGTTTCAACATCCTGCCCTCAGCCTCTATTATGGAATTCAATCCATTAAGAAACTTACCCGCCTTACATTGATACCACGCCACAACTTCTCCATCCAAATAGATTGCAGTTGCCTCCCTCTCCTTTCGATCCAAGAACTCATTAGTGTTGGGATCCTCTTTGTTGAAACTCGGCACTTCTAGCTTACGGATTTGATTAGCAAATTTCCACAGTTCTTCATCGTGCTTTCTGTTCTCGGTATCAATTCCGATGTCATCATATTTTGTTGGAATTTCAAAGGTAATGGTGATTTCAAGTGTAGCCAAGGCCAACTCCTTGAGCCATTTGAAAATCGAGCAATTCTGTTGTAGTACTTGTGCAATGAAGCTGGAAGGCTTCGGTCGCTATTTCTTCAATTTCCACTCCAAAACACCCTAATTCCAGCAACACCCCCTGTACTCTTTTTGTGAATGCCTTTACCATAGATTTCACAGACATTTGCATTTCATTGAACCTCTTAATTGGAGGACATTTTTCCATTTGTGTGGGTGGACATATGGTGACTTCAGTGGTGTTTGGGATAACCATGGGTGTTGGGTTAGGAATGTAAGTTGTATGATAAGGGAAAGCGTAAGAGTTGAAATTTAAATTTAGGCCTAAATGATTGGGAACAATGGAGCCATAAGCATTACTTTTATATCTATATGGGCCTGAAATAGCTTGGGCTTTTTTTAAAGATTCACTACTATCATTAACCCATTGGGCTAGCTCCATATTTTGGTCCAGATCTTGGGGTTTTAGCCTCTTCCGTTCCTTGACAGCTTCAGAAAACACCGACGCGAGCTGCCAAAACGATGAAATTCCACCTGCGATCTGTAGCTGCTCCTTCCTGCATCAACGCCAAGGTTTTTCCCAGACTAATTCCTACATGTGATGGCAGAAGGCAATCCAGTAACGAGTTTTCCCAATCCTTCAACTCCATAATCTCCCATTGGTGACCTCGATTTTCCAGTCGCGCGGTCCCTTCCCTGTGCAAACGTTCCTCTGGATTCCTCCCAACCTCTAGGCCTTTGAGTGGGGCGTCAGATTGCAAAGTTGGCTCCGGAGAAATAGATGAAACTCCTTTCTCCATCCTCTCTCTCTCCTGCACGTCTCATTTCATCATCATCAAATCAAACCTCTCCATGGCTCCTATTCCCTCTCTTATTTCTGAATTCATTTTCTCAAGCTTCACTTCCAGATTACTAACCCGATCATCTAATTCCTTTTCTTCATCAGAAGTAATGTCTCAAATGTCATCTCCAGGAGGATAGTGCTCTTACACCATTTGATAGGATACCACATGAAAGAACAAATTCAAATATTGAATAACTGACTTTTTGATTGAAAAATGACGACTATAGAAATTAAAAGAACAATTCTAAGCATTCGAGAGGCTTAGATCTCTCCCCCTAACTCGTCAACTAATTCTCTACATGAAATCTCCCCAATCCCTCCCCCATTACATTTATAGACAACTTATCACACCATTATTCCCCAAAATACCCTGCCCCTAACTGAATCTATTCTAACCAAATAAACTTCTCAATCCTTTTAGGTGCTTCCACGTTGATAGGAGTCTTATCAGATTTGTCCTCCTCTAAGTATTGACAGGTAAAACGGCTAAAAACATTGAGCATATTGAATAAGATAGATCATTTATGAAGATACCATACAAATCCAAATCAAAAAACAGAAGACGCTATGTGACAAAATTGTCCAGGAACACAGCAGATTGTCTCAGTTGTGACAGAAATGAAGTAAGATGTTGCACTGTGGGCTTTGTAAGACACAAAAATACTTTAAAATTTAAATAAGAGTGTAAAAGGATAGATGTATATTATCTTGGACAATTGCTAGATTTTCTTTTGCAAGCAATAAATTAATTGACATAAATTGTTTCATGACATTAGGCATGCTTTATTCTTTTTCAATCTAGATTATTTTCAACACAAAACAAGCAATTGGCCTCTTAACCGAAGCACTAAAACATAAGATTCATTTTAATATACCTTTTGTACAATAATAGAAGAAAATCAGGGTGTGCATTAGACATGAAGAAGATATTAGAAGCTGTAAGACTACCGTCGAAGCATTAAACACATCTAATGTGAAAATTGCAATAACATGCTGCATAGCATTTTTTCATGTCCATTAACTTATCCTACAGGGCAATTATTGTCTCTTCTATGATCAGTGTGATTCTACAACAGAGTAAAAGCTCAATAATCCCCATATTGAATTTCAAAATACAAAAAAATGTTTAAATTTACTTTTTTGACAAGTGTTATGCATGTTGCGAAAGCAAAGGTCAAATAGGAGTAATAGTTAATGAATCCATCCAATAAATAAATAGTAATATCATTTTAAATTTCATATTACTACTTTGAAGATTCATTAGGAAAAAGAGATGGATAAGGATAAATCATAAGAGGATAATATAAAATACTTAACTTGCACAATCTGAGATGTTCTTAAGACTTAATGCATATTAAATTGCCAATATAAGTTAGTAGGTAATTGATTTATTTTGTGAATTCCAACTTAAACAAAAATAGGTGAAACCCTATCCACCGTAGATATCCAGGGAGCTTCATTATTACTATTGTAAAAATTTTCAAATCTAAAATTGGAACAGCCTATTACCAATATATGATCATTTCTTAGTCACTCCATGTACAATTCTTGCACTTCCTCGGATTTTTCATTTCTCTAAATTCAACCAATTGGAAAACCATCGATTTATCCGCTCTCTCCTCTGTTTTCTTTACCTTCAGTTTAGTTATAAACTAAATCTAACCTCTTATTACATACACAAACCTTTCAAATTTCGCCTAAGCGTGTATACTGATATCTGACACGAATCATACTAGCAGCACTTTCACAAAATAAAACTAAATATAAGCAACTGAAATTAAAACGAAAACATAAAAACTTTAATATTCAAAAAGCTAAAACAGTCCAAATCCCCCATGAGATTCAAAGTTTCATAAAAATAAGTGTCTTTGAGAGAGAGTGTGTCTGCTAGAGAGAGAGAGAGAGAGATTCAGAGATTTACATCAAGCTTTTGTTGTTCAAGCTGAGCGGCCATTATTTCCTCTTGTGATTGAGCGGTCATGATTGATTATCAGTGAGAAATGGGAAGATGGAATGAGCGAAGAAGAAGAGGAAAGGCTTAAAACCCTAGAGAGTTGAGGGTAAAGCTAGAAATGCAATATGACTTTATACCGTGGAACGCTGTAAGGGAATGGGGTATAAATTTTTAAGATAATTGGTACAAAACGTTTCTATATTTCAAGCTTATTATAAAAAATGTTCTTATATTTTATTTTTTTGATATTTTTATCCTGATTTTTACCTATTATTGCAAAGAATGTCCTTTTCGTCCTTTTTTCAATAAAATGATAATTTTACCCTCAATTCAAATAAAATAAAATAAAAATTAATAAATAACTAATTGCAATCACAATTTTAAAATTTTCAAAACATTACAGGTTAGTCCTAAATTCTCCACCACCACCACTTTTACAACCCAAACACCTTCCAACCACCATACCTATTGGACTCCACCACCACCAGCCTTACCTCACTCTCCCGTATCTCGAATCCGTTTGAATTCGCCGAAAAATCAAGCCAAAATCTCCAATTCCGACGACATCCATGCCATGCCCAACATTCCAGTGAATTATACACATCAAGGCGTCCCTTTACATGGTAATCAATCATACATAAACACATGGAATCAAAACCAGCAGGCAAGTCTTCGAACACAGAGATTGTGCAACTTTCAGACGTATTTTTCGGCGATGATGGTGGGACCCATGATCACGGACCAACACTACAAGCACCTACCTTCACGGCGCATCCAATGAACATATGGGTCGTCCCCTATTTGGCCTAGAAATGGCAGTTTATGGGTTTTCTTCCGATAAACAACCTACCCGCTCGATGGAGGTTTTCTTCCATCAATTCATGGCTCAAATGTGATACAATAGACAAATCAACATGGGGGAAATGAAATTGAAGGTAAAAAAGCATTGGCTAATACCTCAATTGCAAAAATTACAGCACTTGTTTGTCGAATTTTGGAGTCAGGTGATGTTCTTCATAAACCTATAACTACCGAATTTTGGAGATTTTGGCTTGATTTTTCGACGAATTCAGGTGGGTTCGAGGTAGGGGAGAGTGAGGTAAGGCTGGTGATGGTGGAGTCCGACGGGTATGGTGGCTGGAAGGTGTTTGGGTTGTGAAAGTGGCAGTGGAGGAAAATTTAGGACTAAACTGTAATGTTTTGAAAAATTTAGGACTGTGATTGTAATTAGTTATTTATTTATTTTTATTTTTTTATTTGAATCGGGGGCAAAATTGTCATTTTATTGAAAAAGGGACAAAAATGACCTTTTCCGCAATGAAAGATGAAAATATGGGCCAAAATGCAAAAAATGATAGATGTGGACATTTTTCACAATAAGTTTGAAAGGTAGGGACGTTTTGTGCCGGTTACCCAATTTTCAGTTTTATCGTTCAAATGCCCACTATCTTCCTTTCTTCACACACTCTCTCTTCTTTTAAGTTAATTGTTCTGGTGCTTACTTAACTTTGGTTCACGTCTTTAATTGATCACTAAAGTTTAAAATATCGAGTTTTGATCATTAAATACAGAAAGAGGGGTAAATGCTTTATTTTTTGCCATTTTTTCATATGTGAATTGTTTTCGATTCGACGGTTTGATCTATGATTTCTCATTCATCGACGTTGATAAGATCCATCTATTTAGCGGCACCTTAGGATGGCATAGCCTTAGAAGGGCGATGTTCAAACGAGGAAAGGCTTATGGTGGATATCTAGATGTTCATGTCTAAAATTTAAAATCTCAAATTTGACTACTGAATGTCTGAACCGTGAAAAATGTTGTACATTACTTACTGTAAACTTGACATTTTCCAAAATTCAATGTTTATGCTAGTCTACGTACAATATTTTCCAAAGTTCAGTGGCAAAAATTCGACATTTCAAATTTCAGTGAGCAATCGAAGATATAGACCTAAATTCAGTGACGAAAATTCGACATTTTAAATTTCAACGACCAATCAAAGATATGGATCTAAGTTCAGTGACCATTGAAACAATTAATTCCTCTTCTTCTTCATTTTTTTAAACTAATATTTGTAATTTCTTTTATTTTTGTATTCCATTATTCAAAGTGTTTTTTTATTATTAATATTTTTTTTTGGGTACATGGAACTTTAGAAAATAATAGATTTTACAATTTTAATTTCAATAATTAATTTTGTACTTTGATAAATATGACCGATGATATTCAGAATGTGAAAACACTCTATGTCGTACTGTATTTGCGAATATGGATTTTAATGTCAAATGCTTAAAACTTGTGTGCAAGGCATTGCTAAAATCAGTTGGATTAAAAGATATTTCTTCAACACATTGTAGGTGGTTAAAAGATCTTGAAAACACACCAAAATATGAAAGTTGGGATATTTTGAAAATGCATTCCTATTCGAGATTGCATAACCACATCTATAAGCTTGTACTAACCAGTAGTTTTCGAAACCAGATCGACATTTTGAGTTAGATTTGTTGGGCTTAGTTGATTTTTGAGTTAGATTTGTTGGGCTTAGTTGTTCTATTAGTAAAAGGGACAAAAAGTGTGTACTTCATTATTAAAATACCAATTGCAAAACATATGAAACATTGTTTTATCCGTCTAGATATAAGAATCGTATACGGGCTACATGGTCCAACTGCCTGATGTGATTGGGCATATGTGAAAATTAATTGAGAATAATTGACAACTTCTAAAGGTTGACATTACATTTGGAGGGGGAAAAAAACCCTTTTTTAAAATTGCAGGTATTCGGAAACTAATAAAAGTAAGGCTTTGTTTGTTTACCATTCCGTAACATTGTTTTTCTATAATATTCATTTTCAATCATACATTCTTCATTAAAATAATATTACATATAAATCAAAATTTTTTTTATTTTTTAAACCACACATTTCAACATCAATTACTATTGCATAATACATTATTCAGAAATAATGAGGCACAAACACCCCTAAATAAAATATTAGGGAAAACTACAGCAAAAGTTTCGAACATTTAAAACATTAGCAGGCTTTCTCCAAATTTTTTATTTATTGCAACCATCACCCCTAACATTTCCAACCGTTGCATGTAATGCCATTTTAGACGGTTTCCATCCAAAATGCCTTTAGTTGATGCCCAAAATTAAGTTTGGCCACATTTTAATCAATTTTAAAAGGACAAAATGGTAACTTTCTATTTATCACATTAAGCAGTTAAAAAACTTAAATCAAAAAATAAATAAAAGAAAAATATAAAAGTCTTTCTTCTTTACGCACCCTGACTCCCCACCCTTTGTCCCACTCCAAACCACCCCAATAATAAATCACATAATTGTCTTCAATTGTTGGCCCCGACACTATGGATCTGTAAAGGTGATTGGGTCAATGAATTTTCCAAATAGATCGACTAGAAGAAGATTAAGCAAGAATTAAAAGCTTTTAATTCGTTCAAACTTGTCCATAATTTTTTTTAATCAACTACAAGATCCCCAGAGGAAAATGGCTTCTTCTTGTGATCTCGAGTCCTAAAAAAATGCAACGTCTCCTTTTTCGTTGCTGCTAGATGATCAAGAAATTATCAAAAGGAGTCGTGGTGTAGAAGGAAGCTTCCATGGCATCTTGTTGGCGGTGGCGAAAGCTGGAGAAATAATGAATGGAGGGAGATGCAATGATGGTAAAGGGAAATGGCCAGATGATCAAGAAGCGGAAAGCCTCCTCTGTATAGATGGTGGTGAAGTGGGAAGCCAAGGAGGCAATGAACGGAGTACCACGGTGAAGAAATGAGAATTCTTTACCAAAATGTTGGTGTTTAAGAGGGAATTCTCTAGCAAAAAGTTGGTGGTGGGCTGTTGGGTATGGGTAAGGTTGTGCAGGGATGAATGGAAGGCTAGCTTGGGGTGTCATGGAAGATGAAGTTAGGGTTATTCCGAATTTGATATCGACTTCATGCGCAAAATTAGGGGGCAGTCTCTCGTCGAAAAGTCATGCTCAAGTTCACTACTTTGGTGTTTTTGATGGTCTTAGCAGTTTTTCCAATTAGAGGGAGCCACGGTGACAAGCGGTCGTGGCATATTCATTTTTCTTGTTTTGGGTTGAAGGTTGGGGAGGATGGGGTAGAAGAGGAACTTACATTTCGTACTTTTTTGTTTTGTTTTTTATTTAAGTTTTTAATTGTTTAATGTGATAGATAGAAAGTTACAATTTTGTCATTTTAAAATTGACTAAAATGTGGTTAAACCTAATTTTGGTGGTCAATTAACGGTATTTTGGATGAAAACCATCCAAAGGGACCTTATATACAATGATTAAAAATGTTAGGGGTGACAACTGCAATAAATAAAAGATTTAGGAGAAGTCTGCTAGTATTTCAAAGATTTGAAACTTTTGCTACAATTATCCCTAAATATTAAGTATGTATACTATAATTCATCCTTATACTAGGCGGTGGATACATGTGATTTGTTTCTCTTCAAAAAAGACATACATTGTAGCAAATTAATGATTTCTTTGCAAAGCTTTTGATAAATATTGATGAAATATGTGATTGAAAATTTAATAAAAGTTGTGGACCCCATAAAATAAGTAGTTATATTTAGGATTTGATTAAAAAGTAATTTTATCAAAGAAACACTATGTAACATCTCCCTTATAATAGCACAATGGCAGACGGCATAAATATACAATGACAACATAATTATACAAACCTATGCAAAAATTCAAATATCTAGAAATTATGAAAACTTTGTTGACGACAACAGAAAAAATTGTGGCTCATAGTCTGCAACCCTAGATAAGATGTTTAGGAAAAAGAGTTTGTGAGTTTGATAACTTAAACATAACTACAAAATTACAACAAATCCATGAAGCATGTTTTCGATTATAACCATTTATTGAAGGTAAAAGTGTGAATCAATAATGTAACATTGTTCATCTAAACTTAATATAATAGCCAAATGTGGCCAATATAACATTCTACTGCAAATTGGATTTCGTGGCTCTCGCACAGACTGTTCTCTATTTATTTATAACAAAAATGAAGTTACTTGTTATATATTGGTATATGTTGATGACATGTTGGTAATAGGCAGTAGTGCTAGCTTTGTGTCATCATTGCTTCTCCG